AGCCTGTCTTAGGACTGAAAAAAGTTTATGAGATGATGTAAAAATGATTTAAGTTTAAATGAAGATTATACAGAGGGTCAGTTTGTGACATCATAGGTACATGTCCTGTAAATAAAGAGATTAGAGTACAGTTCATATTTAACTGTTTTTACATCCGTCCACGTATTGTCCAAGCAGCTAATTTAAGCAGAAACTTTTATTAAGCAGACCAAGGATATGATGTGTATATTAAATGTGATATCTATGTAGTATGTGCATGAAGGTGTAGTATAAGAACTGATGTGTAGCGAAATGTTTAGCGTGTTGTCCATCAATCAGGGAGTTTATGGGTTGACTGCACACTCAGCAGTGCAAAAAAAGAGAGGACATTCTGACCACTTGCCATTGTCCCTTCGGAAGGGCTGAAAAAGCTGTCGGCCCTGTGCATTTCTATCCTCAGTGCATGTAAAAAAAACAGTTGTTCCTGTCACAAAGAACAATGGTTCCCGCAAGACAACTGAAGCATTCTTCTCAATCAATGATGGGCTGTGCCTCATTCCTAAGTCTGTAATTTGGTTTGTTCAGTTAACCAGAAATGATCAGATGAGTGGGTAATATGCATCTTAAATCTGATGAATAGTGAGTAAATAATAAAAAGTAAATATAAAGCCAAGCGATACTCACATCAGGTTCCTCTATAATCTTCAAAAGCCAAAAATGCAAATCAAAGAAAGAAAAAGAAGGATGACAGCAAGTTGTTATGTATGCAAGTGTTCAGTCTTATTAAAAATAGACTTGCCTGGTAGGAATAATTGCTGGACTTGTGGAAATAATTGCAGTCACCCTAGACTTGTGGAAATAATTGCAGTCACGCTAGATTTGTAGAAATAAATGCAGTCACCCTAGACTTGTGGAAATAAATGCAGTCACCCTAGACTTGTGGAAATAATTGCAGTCACCCTAGACTTGTGGAAATAATTGCAGTCACTCTAGGCCCTTTGTTGGAATGATTGTAGACAGTCTAGACTGGCTGAAATGATTGTAGACAGTGTAGACTGATTGAAATGATTGTAGACAGTGTAGACTGATTGAAATGATTGTAGATAATCTAGACTGGTTGGAATGAGTGTAGACAGTCTAGACTGGCTGAAATGATTGTAGACAGTCTAGACTGGTTGAAATGATTGTAGACAGTCTAGACTGGCTTTGATGATTGTAGACAGTCTAGACTGGTTGAAGTGATTGTAGGCAGTCTAGACTGGTTGAAGTGATTGTAGACACCATAGACTGGTTGAAATGATTGTAGACAATCTAGACTGGTTGAAATGATTGTAGACAGTCTAGACTGGCTTAAATTATTGTAGACAGTCTAGACTGGTTGAAATGATTGTAGACAGTCTAGACTGGTTGAAATGATTGCAGACAGTCTAGACTGATTGGAATGATTGTAGACAATCTAGACTGGTTACAATGATTGTAGACAGTCTAGACTGGTTGAAATGATTGTAGAA